ATAAAATGTTTTTAATTGTGTACCAGTTTAACGTTGAATATTATTTATGATTTTAAGTAATAGTAATGTTTGATTAGTTTTACGTGGAAACTCAAAAACTAATGTAAATTTAATTAATAATGCAGTAAAATACTTAAATGATTGGTTATTTAATACTTCTACAATATTTTACAGAAATATCATATATTAAGTATAAATGCATGACAATTTCTGATTGCTATATTAATCTTTAACATAACAGATCTACAGGGATATTTGTGACGTAAGATACCTTCTGCTACTAGTAGGATGAAATGAACTATATAATTTTTATATTCAAAGCATATGTAAACAAATATTGAAGGGTTCAGTTTAAAAAGGTTTTAAAAAAATAATAAAGTAGGTAACCCATACAAATGTGTTATTTAACATGTTTCATTGACAAGGTCAGTATTTCATACAGGTAGCTTTCATATATGAAAGAAAGTGTAAAGCTTGTTTTATAAAGACTTCTGAAACTTTAATGTTATTCTTTTTTAAATTATTATTTTTAACTCTATCATAAGGTCATGTAAGATACTTCAGAAGATAAACGCAGTGTTGTTTAATTGTTTTTATTAATCTAGAAATTAAAAACTTGTCTTAAAAATAATCATAAATATTATATGCCATTTGACATAATCCTGAATGATTACAATATTGTTACGTCTCTGTTCGTTTGTTAATTTCCCATAGAAATTCTTTCCGAGAAACTTCAGCAATACAAGTCCTTTCTTAAGTAAAACTAGTTTATTATTTCTCGTTACAAACTTTGTAATACACTTAATTTTCACAGTCACTTTAACTTAAACACACGCTATAATTCACAATGATTCACGGACTTACGGTCACTACCGCTCACTTGACTCAATTATCTGTCTCTATATCTCTATCTGCAATTCCCTCTCCATTTTATTTTCCGGGCTTATATATTAAAATAGAGGGCGTCTGGCAAACACTCGAGCCTTCTAGAAACTAATCACGTGTTACCAGTGTCACTTGAATTCCGCTGTCGTAACAATATATTGAAACCTAGTTTACAAATTTTCTTCATTCACTAGTAACATAGTTTACAATGCACAATGAGCAATTCCAAAGAGTTAAATTATGTATTTAAAAAACACCAGGTGTTTTTGATATTTGTTATTAACAGCTTAACCCAGGAGTAAAATCTGGTTTAAAATATTTTATTTGCATTTATTGATTTACATAAATATATATTAATTATTCACAAATCCTGTACTTACTTGACAGCTCATTTTTATAGCGTTTACATGATAAACTATAATTTTATTATTTCAACATAGATTATTCATATTATATAGAGTCCAGTAATGGAATTACATTAATATTCAGTGCTGATATGAGTACTGACACCGTTTTATAGTTAACTTATAAGATGCTTTGTTGTATAGTCAGGAAAGCATAGCTTGTTTTAACTGTAAATAGTTAGTAGGAAATTTATATGTAAAAACACATTTTTCTGCTGTAAAGGTTTCATAAAATCTGTCTTCTGGAATTGGCCTTAATCCTCTATTGCATGCATTACGAAAATATGGTAGCAAAAAATGTTTTCTTTCAATTTCTTACTTAGGTAAGTCTGTATTGCACAAAAAATGTTTTTTATGAAAAATACTTTCGTAAGTGTTTAGTGGGTACATCACCTAAAAGTAACATTGTTCAGTTGATGAATCAATAAAAAATAATTCCATGGTTTATTTAGGCTGTTACCTGGAAGTAAGAGCATTCAACTACAGAACTGAAGCATTTGTATGTGTGTTCAGCAACAAAAATATATTTGTTACCTGTATGTTACAATGTGCAATAGAGGGTTAACAATAATTTTTATGATTATTACTTTGTGTCTGACTTGTACTTATTGGTATGTCTTCTTTCTAAAGAATCTACCTAGTGAATCCATATCACCTAAGACAGATGTAAATATTGTTATTGATCTGTGTAATAGTTGTAAGTAAATGTATAATAATTATATATATATTGGTATATACATAAAACGTGTGTACATGAAATGGGACAATCATGTTTGGCTTCAACTAATTGGAAGTTACTGATGCTAATGAATAAATATTCTTGCACCTATAGAATGTGTTTTTTCTATATAAAAGACCATTACAATAGCATATAAAAAAGATGGACTAACATTCCATAAAACCATACACATGCACAGGAGGGTGGCTGGGTGGGCCCAAGCCCCTATCTTTCTACCCTTATGCCCCCAAAGTGCCCTTTTTCTCAGTCGTAAAAAAATTTCAGCAACTACCAAAAGATACACCAGATTCCACACCTTGCTTGCTACAAGTTATTAGTTTAAAAAAATCAGCTTTGAAATGAATGGCACACAGACTTGTAGGTATTTACACTAAAACAATAATAGTAATTGTGATATGCTATTAAGTGTTAATTCTGAATAATTCACTGCTTTGTTTTAGGTTTTAAAAGTGTTTTCAAGGCTAATTGAATAAGAATAAAAGAGGATCTATTTACTTTTCATGGCTTTCTTAATCTATGTGTACCAAAGGCAACACACACAATTCCCCTAGTCTCCCCTAACACCTCTTCCCCCCCCAAAAAGTATTGCCTTACAATGCTTGAAAAGTGCCCTTTTTTGTCAATAAGCCCCTGTTTTTTTAATATTCTCAGCACCTTACTGCAAAGAAATTATTTATTTATTTCATTTTGTATTATTATCATGTATATTTATTGAATAACAAAGAATTTGTTATATTATATCTTAGAGAATAAGATATTGGATAATTACTTAACAAAATGAAAAGAATCCTACAGACTGTAAATATATTTAAGTCT